CAGCGCGGGAGGACCTGCCGCCCCGGGCTGGCAGCGCGGCCATCCGCGTTCTTAGTTTCCAGCAACGCCGAATTAAATTTTAACCAACTGGAGAAGATTCTTAGCTTGCAGTTCTAGCTCTGCTGTGGGGAGTCTTCCAGTGCCCGCACGTAACGGAAAGTCTCCTTCTCTGCCAATCCAGTGACGCAAGATGCAACAGTCCTGCAAGAAACTGGCCTGATAAAGCCTTACAAATTTGCATTTCTCCTAAGCTACTTCCCCAGCCGTGTTTCCTGCCCTCCTCCACTCAGCATGACAACCTTCCGACAGGAAGAGCTGCATGTCACAGCAGGCCTGGAGCTGCGCATCCGAGGGATCACGGCAGACTGGGATCTTCCATGCTTGATCCTGCCTGCCTTTCCCGCAGTGAAAATACTGACTGACTGGATCCCGCGCTGCCGGCCGGCTGCTGCCTGCAAGGAAGCTTGTAGGCATTTAACTGGCTCTGAGATTTCCACTCCTTACCCATTGCCAGGAGAGAGTGTTCAAAGGTCACTAGCCATACATGGGCAGACAGTGCAGCCTCACATGGCTCATTTTCTTAGGAAAAAATACTGAAAATAGAAACAGTGTGTTGCAGCAATCGAATATAGTGGCTCTTTTAAAAATACTTTTCCCTCCCCAAAAGTAAATGATGTAGGTGCAAGGACAAGCTATCATTCAGCCAAAATACTATTTTTTATAGACTGCCTAAAGATATTTAACCATTAATCAAAGCTCCTACACCAAGGTCTTTTTGCTTCATTTCTTGTGATGATATATTTTAAAACTTGGCAATCTCCTCTGTAAGTACTAAACTCTTTTTTTTTCCTACATCTATTTTCATATAATATTTCCTGTGAGCATTTCAATTACAAAGATTATTTTCTGTAGAAGTTGAATGCTTGGGATGTTAATTTTCCATAAAGCTACTCAAATGAAAATATATCCATTATAGTGTCAAAAACAATAGAAAAAATTATTCCAGAGCTATGCCTCATCTATTATATTTACATAAGACAAATATCTCAAGGGTCATGATGAATCATTTAAAATTTATTAATAACAACCACCAATAATAAAAGGTTTATATGTACTAGTTGCCAAAAGCCCCATGTGCAATTGTGCAAACACAAAGGAAATACAATCCCCACCTTGAGAATGTTACAATCTGAAGTAATGGACAAAGCACAGGAATGATAAAACATAACAGTTTGGTAATATTTTTGTTTACATGCATTTTTATTTATGCACATTAGGAGGGGATTAGTAGTAAAAAATGAGCAGGTAGAGAATACATGGAAAATAAGACTATTCACAGCTTTTCCCTGCTTAGTCACACTCTGAATTTTGTACTTTTTGAGGACAGGTGAAGCATAGGATTTTACCTCACCTGGAGGTAAAATAAATGTTCAGATTTCATCAAGGCATTTTCTCCTTGCAAGGGAGCTTCAATAACTTGTTGCACAGTGACTGTTTCACAATAAACTAGGAAGTGTATCGGGGTTTCTTTTATTTTTTGTAGCAGTGCAGGAGCTGTCTGAAAAGTTGCCAGGACCACAAGTGTTTCGCTCAGCTTCACTCTGAACACTGTACGTTACGTTTCTGAAAATGTTTCCCTCTACTGTAGTTCAAATATTAGTACTGCTCCCCATCAGCACACCAAAGACCTCTCATCCATTGGTGTCATCCTGCTAAAAGGGCGAGTGCATCTACTGCTAAGAGAGGTGGTGGCTGCTCCCGAGGAGCACTGGAGGAAGGGCCTCCGACCTTCAGTCCAGAGGCAGATTTCCTGCACTGCAGCTGCATGTCTGTAAACAATCACAAGTTTCAGTATGGCAATTCAACAAAAGATTCCGGATTTATAAACTAAATAGCCCATATCAGCCAAACAAGGCTTAAACATCCGAGAAAAAAAATAACTGGGAAGGTTTGGGAAAATGCAATTGTCCAAGGGTAAGAGAATTCCTTGAGGTGCAAGTAAGTTTGTTGTTCCTATTTAATCACTGAGTCTTCGCGGTTTAAGCAGTTCATATAACAAGTGCAGATTTTTCACATATTCAGTAAACTCACAGTTGCTGTATCTGACATTTTCCCCTCAGAGGACAAGTAGATGCAGGAGCTCGGCGTGACCTCAGCGTGCCGGGTCTGGCTGTGTGGGCAGGGAAGCAGAGCACAGCTCTGGAGGAGCCCGGAGCGCACGCTGCAGATGAGTCGCTCCAGGTAGGGTGCAAAGCAGTGCAGGAGGGGAGCTGCAGAGTACCCCAACAGCACACGGCTTGCACACACACCACCATAAAGCACTCCAGGCAACTTGCTGCTGAAATCTGACAATACTCTGTCACTGTAAATTGTACATTACTTTCTTAAAACCAGCAGGAGCACCAAGAAACTCTGTCATTCTCTCCCTGACTGACTGGTACTGGCTGCAGGTATGACTGCATCCTAGGCCATCCTATTTTGAGGAGGCCCTTGGTGCTGAAAATACAAAGTCTTAATGCTTACCTACACTCAGCTGCTAAAAAATCTCAGCAGGGGCAACTAAAACTCTATTCAGTACAGTCTTACCTTTTAAAAAATGATGTGAAGACATGAGCTTTCACAGTGAGGTTCCTGTGCTGTGCTGCGAGTAGCAGATATTTAAGGATCTACCACCATTAGTTTCTATCTGTTCTTTAGTCTGAGACTTCCCATGTTGAGCAGGGTGCCTTTCTCCCTTCAGGGCCTCCACCCACTGTACCATTAGCCTGGCTCACAAGGTGCTGCATGCTGCCTTTGCATGCACTCATACAAAAATCACAAGTTGCTGAATTCGCAGAGAGGTGATGGTAAACAGCCTTGCCTTCTAAGAGGTACCACCGTGCAGCATTTAGTGTCTTGATTAGTTTCTTTCACCACAGTCATTACATACCCTAGAAACTTAACGAGTTTTACAGACTTCTGAAAAAATCTACTAAGCAAACGCATTTTGTGAAGAAAGCCATTCTTAGAAAAAGAACCTACAGAAGGAACATTAGTTTCAGTATTAGAAACAGTTTTAAGCTACATAAGATAGTAACTACAGAAGGTAGATAGTGTCTGTACTATCACTGTCTTTCAAATCTGAGCTGTTTAGTTTTAGCCCTTGATACATGTACAAAAATTGAACACCGTGATAGCTGTTTGCACGTACTTTTTTTGGCATAACTTTAAAAGCTACATTTTAGTCTCACTAGTTTGAGGTACTTCCTTAAACAGCCTAATTACCACTGTGCTTTCCAGTGTTGGTATACTAAGCAGTGTAAACTTGCATAGAAGTGTATAAATTCAGAAGCGATTTAGCTTTACTTCTGCCTATCAAATTGCAAAATGCAGCCTTTTCAGTTTAGGCATGATATAATGTCAAAAGTTAACTTTGCAGCTATTTTCTGGAAACTCCCTAGTTTGATCCATTTGTAGGCCCAGTACCACAGACCCTCTTGCCTCAAGGTCCTCCAGGGACAGCTGACGACTGGGGCTCCCCAGGACGTTGCGTAGCTCGGCTGGGTACTTGGCTTCTCTCGAAGCTTGAGTCCTCCCACTCCCCCCTGAGCTTTGTGGGCCTCGTGCAGTTTTACTGAACTTGGCAACATGCGGAGGGTCAGGGCACACCTGGTAACTTGCAGCGCACACAACTTCCTTAAGAGGAAAGTTCCAACTTTGGCACTGCCCCCCAGGAACATGTCACATCACAACAGGCTATTCTGCTCTCCACCCCAGCGTACATAGAGCCAGGCATTCACCAACACAGAGCAGTGCTACTCCCAAATAACCTACGAACAACTATTTGTATACTGGAGAGGGGGAAATCTGTTTGCAACTACCAGAAATTGAGAAACTGAAGTGAAAGATTTGAGAGATGTATGAATAAACCATTTTAAGCAAATGCACTTCACAGGTTTTTACTCATACAAGTATTTAACCGCAACTACCTGGTAAAATAATAGACCTGTTAAATGAACATGTTGTGTATCACTTGGTGCAAGTGAATTACAGCTATCATGCTGACCCTTAGACTCAATCAAAAATATTTTTAAATAATGAAGGCACATGCAAGCATTTAACTGAACAGCTGACATCTATATGCAAGATGTCTGTAATAGTGAAAAAAAAAAAAACCCTATGCAAGACCAGTAACAGCATATGGTCCTTTAGGAGTTTTAACTTTCTCCTAGATAACCTTTAATCATTTGCTTGATGCTTTGCTTAAAAAGAAACATGTTTTTTAGAAAGCCTTAAACTAACAAACAAGTTAATTTTCAATTAAATGTCTGCCAAAAATTAGACATTAGCAATGATATTTTGCGGTGTTGCTTCTGATATGAACTAGGACATTTTAGAATTAAAACCTGAAGCTTAAGTTTCAGGAAAAATGTCAGTTCTCCTAAGGGTCTAGAACATCTGACCAGATAGGTCCTGATTTGTTTGGTGACAAATACAACCACTATGTTACACTGAGAGCTATACAAAACATGAGAAATTTGCACTTTAACCCACGGGAATATTATCAATATTTTAAACAGCTACACCTGTAGCATTTGCATGTTTAGTGCCACACCAAGTTGAATTCAGTACCACCTAAACCCATAGCAACAGCTGATTAAAAAAAGAAACATAAGTCAAACAATAAAGCTACATTGTTTAGTACATTCAAACAAAACAAGGACAATGGTATTTGTATAAGGTTCCAAAAATATACAGATGGGGGGAAAAAAATCACTGTACACAACTCTGAGGTTGTTAAAGTGACCAGAGAGACTGAACAGTGCAAGACATGCTTTTCCAGTTACAAGCTCGAAACAGAAGTGCAAAAAAATTAAAGCTTTGTCTGATGTGATTTACTTTTTAGGATAAGGAAAGCTAGAATATTGTCATCAGTATTACAGAGAAATCTCTACACATCCCCCCCAACACATACACACAAAATAGTTTAAGTTTTTCCATGATACAGCGTCTTATTCAAATGTCGTCCCACCTAGTGCAGTTACTGTGGGGACAGTTTAATACTTATTGATGTTGGCCTATAAATCCAAGCGACGCACAGGCGGCCGCTCCATTCCCAAGCTTTGGCTAACAGCACCTGCAATTTACAGGCAGTGACAAGGGCAGAGAGCCCGGCATCAAACCCTCCTGCACCTAGCCCCTGCAAGAGCACCTCACCGCAGGAAAGCAGTTGTGCTGGAAGCAGATGCTAAGTTATGGCTAGGAACAACGATTTGCACTATAGGTCTCTACTCTCTGCCAGAGTAGAGAGCAACTTCAGGCAAGTGCTTTTAGCAGGCTAAGCAGTATGTGCACCTATTCATGCAAGCATAGAATATGGCTCCCAAGACCTACAATGATGGTGTGTGCATGTAAAGTCTGGACAGAAGGCCCTTCCTTGTTTACAAAAATATATAGCCAATACCATAGCTTAAGAAGTCAGTTTTACTCATTACATAGATCCCGAAAAAGCATCAACTACTTTTCAGACATTCCAGACAAGGTCACTTGTAACAAAAAAGTCAAGTTCTCTCAAACAAGATTTAAAAAGTGGGTCAGTTCTTCAAGTGAACAGGACATCTGTTTGTAAGCTTAACTTTCTCGTCAGTTAAGACTGGATTTAAGATTTTATGTGAATATATGCATAAACACAAATAGGTTTACTTTAAACACATCTGCACAGGAAAAAAAAAAAAGATTAACCCTTCAAAACATGATAGAGCAGGTCAGGTTAGTATGTATTTATTGCAAATCTTAAAGATCTTGTGAATTAGGCCCACCCAGACAGAAAGCAGGGGAAAAGTCTTGATGAAAGAAAATAACTGTTCAAGTCTAAGTGGTATTTTGAAGAACCAGCAGCCTAAGTTATTTTCTGTTTCGAAGCCGTTTAGATTTCCTAGGACAGTCTACAGATTCGGCTGCCTTCCTCCGTTTTCTAGGAGATTCTTCGTTTGAGCCAGAACCCGAGGAATTTCCTACTGCGCTCTCCATCACCTCTCGCAGTTTGCGCTCGAGCTCAGCCAAGCGGGCATTCTGTTCGCCTATGATTTGGGTTTGCTCTAGCAGTTTCTGATCTTGGTCTTGGAGCTGTTTCTGTTGTTCCTGCACTTTGGTGCGAAGCTCCGAGATTTCCCGCCTCAGCATTGTCACCCCCGCACCGTTTGTCTTCACTTGCTGCTGGAGTTTGGTCACCTCCTGTCTCGAAGGGTTTTGCTTGGAGAAGAGCTGCATTGTTGTTAGTGCTGCAGAAGGCCCTGGAACTTCAGAGAAAACAGTGATTTATTCCCTGTATCTTTAAGACAAAACTAAGCAGTTATGTCCCAGTTTTCACGCCTTGCTCACCCTACTCCTTAAACATCATCGGAACACCAGCTGCAAGTTATGTGAACATGTAAACAGTTATGGCTATATAAGGGTATAACAAGAGCATATGGTATTTCAGGGCAACTAATTTAACTGAAATTACTTGGATTTTCAGTAGGTTGAAAAACAGCTCATTCATTTTCAGAAAATGCACTATCAAAATGCACTATCAAAATTTATGGGGAAAGATTATGTTGTCAGCTAAAGTTAATGTCTCTACAGATGTTAAGTCAAGAAACTCCAACATGGCTATAAATAAGATATATTACAGAATATATAAATATAATGTAATACATTTCAGTGTAAGAGTACAACTCTGCTGTCATAGTTGTACACAGTTTGTGTTTTGGGGCTTGAAAAGATAGTTCAGTTTAACATAGGGTCTAGAAAAGATTTGTTTAGAAAAGGTTTCTAGAATTTGATTTCCATGCTCTTTTAAACACAATCTGTTCTTATTTTTCTTGGGTCCTAAAACCATGTTTGGAGTCCTGCAGTTTGAGCTTAGAAATGCAGTAAAGCTGCTGTGAATCAATGACACTAATGTCTACTGCGTAATTTCACTCACTTTTTCTATCATAAGATGTAGTGCAAGTAAGATGCAGCTTTTAAGCACCATGAAGAAAGAATAGTCTAGAGCAGTCTTGAACAACCACCCTTCTCCCTTTTTTCCTTTAAGATACGCGCATAGTTACAGCTATCTGACACTAAAGAGTTGCTGTTAGATAGATATATTCTTCCCTCAGCACAAGACAGATATTTTTATGCCATATAAAGCCTTGGGCTTCATAAGTTGATCAACTATCGTTTTGGGCAACGCTTCCTCACCTGAAAGACTCAGTGCAACTGAGGTATAATGAAGAAGCTGTAATTAAGAAGAATATCTACACTAAGAACTAAAAGGATGGCCAGGGCATATCAGCAACATCGGGCAGCTCCTATTGTTAGACTCACCATTTTTGCTTAAGTTGCAAATATATATATGTGAGGCATATATATATATGTGAGGCAACCACCCAGAGTTTGGTTAATGTAAATTACAGATTCCAACAGGTTAGACAAAGCACCAACTTAATTGTTTACTTGTCAACTGTTACTTTAACTGCCTTTTCCATATTCCCCACAAGTATTTGGCTTGTTAATGACTACATGAGGGCCCCAGGAAAGTAAAAAAGCACATCCAAGTATGTTCCAGCTCTCTGTGCACTACAGCAGCTTAGGCTAATTCATTTGCTGACTGTACTAAAAATAAAAGTCATCTTGAGCTGTCATCTCATGTGCCAAATCTCAACCAAGTGCAATGATAAAGTCTCATTCATTGGTGGCACAAAAGCGTTTGTTTAATGAATACACACTATGCATAATTATAACATACATTCAAGTGACCATTCTTTGGGTAATACAAAGCCTCCTTAAGTTTCAAGGCAAACAAATTTCATTTAACATTCTTAAGAAATAAGTATCATCAATATGTATGTGATGAAGCTCATATTTAAAGGAAGGAGCTTTAAAAAGATGTGCTATGAGTTTTTAAAGAAAAAAAATTAACTATATGTTGGAATTAATACCTGGGGCAGCTCCTATGAGACGTCCTGATACATCTGACCCAGGCAGCTTTCTTTTCAGTATTGGAACAATCTTCTCATCAAAATATTCCATAGCCATGGAAGAAATGTCCCTTAGTTCTTGAAGAACTTCATGGGCTCTCTGAGGAGCTCTTGTAGAGTTTACATACCTTAGCACACGATAAATTTCATCGATTACCTAAAATATTTAATAAACATTAGGATTTTCTGATAAAGGGAAGACAAAATTATTTCAGATCACTCCAGAAGCTATAGTGTTGGTGTACTTAGGGGCTTCTACTACACGAGCATTACTCTTGCATATCACTCTGTATTTTAGTTTTCCATCAGCTATTTCAAATGATGTATTTTGTAGAAGTAGAAATGCAGTTTTTCATATACTAGAGAAAACATTCACTTGATGTATCACAGCAATTCTCTTCAAATTCAAACTACTGCTCAGTGTGGGAGATACTCATTAGGAATATTTGTTTTACTACATCCATACTTGAATTCTGAATTATGCAGTAAAACATGCACATTTCTTTCTGGAGAACCTGAAGCAATGCTGAAAGCCACACTAACCATGTCTGCAGCGCGGTCATTCCCCGGCCCATCATGAGACATATATAACACATGAATAGAACAGCAAGAATTAGCATGCCAGTCTGAAGAGCTGAAAATATAATATTCAAGTTCACTTGCATGCACCTGAAATGCTGCAAACCCAGATTAGATCCAAAATACATTAATTATGAAATATGAGTCCACAACTGGCAGACTACCTAACAGACTTAGAAACAAGCCCTTTGTTCAGGAGAAACACAGACCGTTGCTAATTACGAACTATAGTCTGAACAGGTCAAAACAGGAGTGCTGGTCTCCTAATACAGAAACTACTGACATGATTTTTTTTTTGTACCAAATTAGTAATGGCTGAAGAACCTACTGAAAAATAAAGACCTGAAGAACTAAGAATCACACACTGCACCTTGTGTTTTAGTAAAGGAAGTCTAGATAGAAGGTTGCAAGAGCTAGACTTATGACCAAAGTGTTTCATCACCCAGAAAGCATACAAGAGCCTTTGATAACCTTTTCCATGTTTCAACCTTGTAAAAATTATACCCTTACAGTATTTTCTTGCTATCGTCAACATAAAATATTACAGCAGCATTCTGTTATTGACCAGGAAACCTTACACAGTATGCTGAAACTCAAATCAGGATTCATATATTGTAACATGAATTCAGGCCCTGAAATTTCTGTAGCACCTTCATTGAAATGAAGGTTTACTGAGGGGAGCAGGGCAGGCAAGGGAAACCATACACTGCACATAAGTACAGAGTCTGGAATTTGCTTGACCAAAAAATTGGGAGCTGATGACTGTGCTGAGAACAGCAGTGCTACCAAACTAGTATACTAAGTGAAGAGGAAAATAAAATCTTTCTAGCTGTTAGATCTGAGTACAAATAAGCTCCTTATGCTCCAGTTCCCAAAAGGAAAATGGCTGGCAAGCTCACTTGCCCAATTCCTGCACACCCAAGCTTGACTACTGCCTTCTCTCCAATCTGAAAACAAAACAAAACAAAACAAAAACAATTAAGGCAGCATTTTTTTTTAAGTACTCTATCAGAAAGCTAATATCAAAACTTCTGGAATGGTGTAAATATCAAATTGAAAGAAAATGCAAAAATGAAGTTTATCTTAAATCTTGTATTTCATGCTGACAACCTATCCCTACTATACTGAAGGGAGAACCATCTACCATTCATCTGAATCCAAGAGAAATCTTCTCAGTTCATCTCAGTGATGATTCAGGTTTATGTCCAGGAAAAAGTAATATCCACATCTTCAAATCTCATAGGAAAAGAAATCAATAACCTAATGTTCACAGGCTTGCACCTGAGCTGTCCCATGCTTTCTCAGGTCAGGTTTGTGTCAATCCCCCTCTACACCTCTATCTCACAGATATAAAACACTGATAACTCTGACATACATCTCACTTGGATAATTTATATTTTATGTTGGCATAGTATTCTGAAATATCTCAAGTTGTTCAGTAGTAATAACATTAGCAAAACTACTTTCATGTAGCGCAAAAATACACCATTTATTTTAACACTAAACAGTGTTTCCACATACTAAATATCTGAATTCAAAAAAAGTCTTAATTCAAATTAAAGTCTTCCTGATGGATGCAGTCCTTAGTTTCGTGCATAGCCTGAATTACTACATCTTCTGATGACCTAGCCTCTGGCTGTTTTGTACAATTACAATTTGGGCTTAGGACCTACATATCCCTCTATGCTTCTTGTAAAAAGATGCGCATTCTGCAAGTCAAATATCAAAATTCTAAGGGGAAATGGAAATCAAGTTAAGGAACTGATATTCACATATAGTCCACTCATTTCATATTGCCTTTTATAGCAGAGTTTTGGCTTTTGTGTTTCCAAGTATCCAAAATACTGTTCCAGATTATTTCTACATTTTTAGGCAAGACAAATTTACTGAAGTCCTGCCTATTTTTTTTTTTTTTTTAAGCACAGAGATATAAGTTTGCATAATACAGTTTACATGTTACCTTTCCAGGTATGAAGCAACAGAGATTAGAATCCACATACTTCATGAAAGTCATATTTAATAGAGAGAGTCTTGTTTCTACAGCAGCAAGGATGTCTGCATGACGAGCTAACGAATGATTTCTTCTTTCCGACTCCCGCCTAGGAGACAGACCATTAAGTGACAGCAATTTAACAGTCAGGCAACAAAATCTAAATGCAACGACTCAATTTCATTCTCAAAAGCCTTTTGAGGTTTGAAAATGTAACCACTTCAATTAGCTCTGGCATTATGGAAAAGCTGAGAAAGATAATACCCAGCCTGTAACAGTGCAGTGTATTTTCTTAGACATAATTTGCTCCCTAAATAGTGACAAGTTTTATGTGATTTGTATACTCTGTATGTAATTTAGGACACTATACATAAACAAGCTTTCACTAGCAATATAAATATTTTATGGTCCCATATTCCTAAAATCAGTACTCCAACACAATTGACACAAATAAATACATTACTGCTTACTATTAACTAAGTTGAAATATGAACATTTTTGACAAAAGATCTCAACATCAGTAGCATTTAATTCCTTGACCCAAAGAAATCTGATGGAACAGCAAGAGATGCACTTATTCACTGACCAGGAGAGAAAATATATTGTTTTAGGATGACCCCCTCACTCTCTATAATGCTTATTTGTCAATGCCCCTCCTCTTCCCCAGGTTAATCGTTACCCCTGTTGCTATTTTAAGCAGAATTATAGGTAAGTCATCAGCGAAGGCAGCCTGTCTTGAAAAGGAATGGCATTTATCCATTCCAGAAGAGTTGAGTAATACAAGACCTCTTTGTTCCCTATTTAAAATACTGGAGACACTTTCCAAAATTCCAGCTCCTGATGTACTAAAATTACACTCATCTATACCATTATTTTAGAATTAGATCTTAGGTGCTTTTGGAAAACAAAACAAATAGGATTCAAATTTTCAGGAGGTAGAGCTGGGTTAGTCAGCAAGAGATTCCATTTTAGTATTATGCTTAAAATAACTGATTTAAGTTTAACTGCAATTTTAATTTCTACATACCTTGGAAGCTGAGCTTTAACTTGCTTTTGACACAAGTTGTGGTATCTTTCCACTTTCAGAAATCCTTGATTTAACATTCGCTGACAAACCAAGTCCATGCGCTTACAAACCTGCATGTAAGTAAAAAGAATAAATGAAGTCTCAAATAAGGATAAAAGTCACTTTACTGTTATCTAAACCATACTTGCTGAGCAGTACAAGATTTAACCAGCACTTTTTGCTCCTTTTTGAGGAACAGAAATTATATTTCAGCATAACACATTAGTGGTCAAGAAATTCCAGAATGAAACAGCCATGTTCTGTAAAGCTCAAAACTCATCTCCTGATGCTGCTTAAGAGAGGAGGGTGAATTCCACCCACATGGAAGCTGGTAAAATGCCTCTCTGATTTTAATGGAAGTTGCAGCCACCTGGGTGCCTGGGCCTCCAGAATAATTCCAGTAAAGTTAGTATTTTGTTGTCCCCAAAATAAATCCTACAAACAAGAAGTCACAGTGATTTTAGTTCAATATTTAAGGTTTATGTTTTTAAAGACAGCAAGAATTAGAATTAAAAACATAAACTGTAAAGTGCAAGGGAAACGAGAAAGCTTTTCTTATAAAACTTCTCTTTTAAAGGGTTCCTTTAGTTGCTATGCTGGATACTGATAACCTCATTTTTTTGCACAGCTTTAGGGAGACAGGCTGTTAATAGCGACAGAAGGAATAATAAGCTGATAAATTTAGACCTTCGCAAAGTAACTAGTGATAAGACAAAGTCAATGTGTAGGAAAGGTTAAAGCACATGCAATTAGCAGTTCTGAAGAGGCAAGAACTTAGCAAACCAACTCTGTTCTTTTTAATTATTATTTATTTTTGTTCTAGAATACAGACTACTCCCAATGTGATCACACCTTCTAATGGATTCTTTACTTTTTTTTTTTTGAACAGACTCTTCTCCCCCTCCATTCACTACTCATGTCATAACTTCCAAGACTAAGCAGCTCTATAGGTTGCGGAAGAAGCTGACCTGTCCTTGAAAAGCCTGCAATTATTGTCTCTTTATGGAGAAGTCACTGCTTGAAGATGATCTGCTTTCCGCAGACTGTGAGTCTTTCTGCAGTCACAGCATAACTTCCGTGAGCCAGCAACAGCCCTCATCGAACAGACCCGTCCCATCAGACCAGTAAGTGGCTGCTATCAATCTGGCTGCTCCTCTGCAGTACATCCTCTTCATTAAGAAAAACGATCCATTGGGCTAGCGAAGAGCCACAGCACATCTCCCTCCCCTCATTCCTTAAAAATTCACTAAATTATTTCAAGTGCAGGAAAAAAATAAAGCTGGTTATTCAGCAAAAGCCTTAACAGCCTAAAACTTAACAGTCTATTTCAGTTCTAATAATAAAGAACCTCTGAACTAGTACTGGTACCTGCATGAAGGCTGTGGCCCTTGCTTGGCACAAAAGAAAAATAAACCTAGATGCATTTTGGGAGCAAATTCAGTAAAAATAAAAATGACTATAATTAAGCTTATACTGACACCTGGTGGCAGAAAGTCCCTCCCACAAGCAGCTTTCAATGAACTGCAACCAGTTTTTAAACACTACATTTTCAAAACTGGCTCCTTTGCTTAAGCTTCTCATCAAGTGTTTGAAAGAAGTTAAGAATTCTTTACCGCAATTTCTGGACACTACCCATATTCGTGCCAACAATCAATCTAGAACCAATCCTAAACAAACCACAAGTAGCACGAAAGCCCAGAAGTACCTGTCTACAACATATTTTAATTCTCATCTGGTTCCCGATGACATCATTTAAAATGAAATGGCACCTCAAGCCGTAAGAAAAACATATTTGCATGAGGTTGCATAGTCAGCACTCACACACAAGTCAGCACTAGCACACTTAAAAATGCTCGTTATTAGTCCAATACAATTTCTGATTCTAGCTATCTTAATGGACCCTGAGCAAGCCAAAAAAAAATAGTCATGGTTATATCTGCCAGTTTTTGCAAATCTTTTCTTATTGTTACCATAAAGCCAACACAGCCCAAGTTTTCTCAAATGTCAACTCCAGCCAGAACAGTGTGTTCAAATTCCTCTGTTAGAAAGTTATTCCAAGACGACACATAGAACAGAACTAAAGTTGATTATGATGCTGACTATACAGTATAACAAAGAACATTTTTTTTCATTTCATTTGCAAACAGACTCAACCAAAAGTCTCCTAGAGGATTGACAGCTTCCCTTTCCTCAAGCAGGTGTTATTTCTTCCAAACTTCACAAACATATGGCCAGTGTTAAGGCAGAAGGCAAGATATATAAGAAACCTTATAATAAAAGTGTCTGTAAATACAGATTTACTGAAACTGCAGGAAGATTAGGACTGTCCTGTCCAAAAGATATCAGTCTTTTTTCATGGTCTGCAGGAGAGAAAAAGAAAAAAAGTGCAAGTTTGCTGCACACACATCTCCAGACAGTTTTTAAGACAACTGTTCTAAAACAACTGGCACAGGTTTACAGCTACATCAGCAGTACTGCAATCCAAGCTCCAAATCGATCTTTAAACCAGAAGCCTTCACTAGAGTCAGTGTAACTCAGCATTTTCCAATGTTGTGTCTCAGAATTAAGAGTGTTTCTTCCAAACATGGATGTCAGCATATTTCATAGAAAAAGTTACATCCTAGTATTTTGAAGTGCTTTAGAGAAAGCAGTTTCAGTTCCATTTTACAGCCAGAAAGCTAGAGGCGTAATTAAGTGACCACAGTGTAACACGAATAAGCCATAATTGAGTGAAATGACTTGTTCCAGGACAATGGCAAAGCAAGACGAAAATGTACAGCCATTCTCTTATCCACAATATAATGTTTCCTAAACATTAGGATATTTAAAATATTATAAATCTGAGGAGAAAAAAAATCTTTTATGATGTGCTTTTCTCAAATTACTTGTCCTTCTGCCTTCCAATAAATTAGTTAACTCAGAGGGCTGTATAGCTACAAAAACATAACAAAAAAATCATAATCATTAGAAAAAGCAGAGCAAAAAAAGCCTTTGAAAGCTGGTCGGTGTGCTAGCTTCCTTATCAGCAAGCAGGCTACTCTGTAGCATGGCCAGAACGTTACAGATTCAGGCATAAGGACAAGATCTTTGGAGTTTTCTTTATTTTTTCCTGTGTTTCTCTTAATGGTAACATTAGGGAAGAAGTGGACGAAGCAAATATCTGAAAGGGCAGAGAGTCAAATGCTATTGCTTTCCTCCCATTCACTTTATCAGAACAAAAGTTGCAGAATGCAAGATGAGCATTAAGGCCAAACTTCAGCCACGATTGCATTCTGAATACCTACTTGCTTAGTCTCCATTAGTTTAGATCTACTTCTCTGCTTAACCCGCCAGCTGCTTCATTTATGCTTTTAAATGCAGCAACATCAGGAATAGTAGAAACTTTATATTCAGGGACATATAGCAAGAGCTTCTTTGTGCAGGGAGGGGGCCACGGTGTTGTCTTGCCTAACAGCAATCATCATAAGCAGGAAACGTTCTTTGCTTCCTCCTCTAGCGACAGAAAGGACACTTATGGATCTTAAGCCTTATGCTCTGTATAAACAATAGAGGTTCCTATCTCTATTTTAATCTGAAAAACTTGCTAGTGTTTCGGGTTCTCTCTCCATTGTCTGTCTTCTTGCAGGCAGTCTAGCTTTGATACTAGCTCAGCTCAAACACATCACAAAATGGATCCTTCCCCAAGACCGATACTAGCTCAGCTCAAACACTTTGTATGGATCAGTCAACCAAGGAGACCCAGAAAAAGATTAGGGCACCCATTTCCTGCAACATTAAGATTCAGAGAGTGCACTGAAAGCAATCTGTTCAGGCAAGCCAAATTTTGTGCCATCACAAAATGGATCCTTCCCCAAGACACTTTTAACCCCACAAAATGAGGCAATCCATGTGATAAGGAGGCTGCTTCGGAACATTTTTTGTAAGTGCAGGGGATATAAACAGTTTAACTCCCATCATTCTGTTAATTTGCTCCTGCAGGGTATGTTTAGCAGAATTCTACTCAATATCAGATATATTTATTCACCTTAAGTAGCTCAAGTCAATTTTCAAAGAGAAGAGGCATCTACTGACTGTGCAAGTACACAAGTGTCTCCTGAGTCTAATGGTAAACTTTCTATAAAAAAAGAAAAATCTGAAAGTGATAAACTTATACCTAAGCATTATTTTTTTAAATGCTACCTTAATTCCAGACACTGGTGATAGAGATTTAAATACCTAGTCTACTGATTGCTATATATAGCCTCCAGTGAAATGCCAGAAGAATATTTTTACTTTTGAATAGCCACTTGAAAGATGCAGCTGATCAAGCGCAGTCAGGAGTTACCCTTCTGACTAAGGCAAATCAGAACGGCTGAGGTTCTTTACACCAGTGCTGCTCAGCAAAAGTTTGCAACTTTCAGAAAAAGTTTCATAATTGCTTCTGATATGTGAAAATAAGTATGGAATTTGATGGCAATTAAGTGTCTTGGTTGTCACTGAATCAGAAATTAGAAGTGTGAGAAGATCAAGTGTACGGTTTTATTCATTTTGCATCCAGTATTGCTGCATGGGTGCCTAGGTCTATATTTGTCCAATCTGGTTTTGCTCATTTCTGAAACTTCTGAAAGCAGCAGGGGTATTTGTGTGTGTGTGGTTTTTTTCCCCCCCTCTTTTCCGCCAGAAAAATAACTCAGATGTGCTACAGAAGAAAGGTGTTTCTCTTTTTAAGGAGCATGCAGAGTTAAACAGGTCTTTTAGTCTTTAAATGATTGTCTTTCCTATTATGAGTTTCACTGCTGTCAAAGTGTTGCTTCCAAACACAGACTTAGCTTTCCAAAAAGAAAACAAAAAACACAAGCAAGAAACCCCACGCTGGTCTAACAGTACCTTCCACAGCTATCATCAGTTATAAAATGCAACAGGAAAGTTGCAGCTAAGAAAAGTATTGTTTAGTGTTGCCATTTGGAGCGCACTACACACTGTGTATCCAAGCAGCGCGTGTACTTTTCTTTCCGCTCATTCAGGCTGTAAATCCTGGAAGCGGAGGCTGCAGTCCAAAAAGACAGTCCTATTTATTTCCCCCTCCCAGCAAATCTGCGACCTGCTCTCACAGAGGAAACACTGTCTTTGGTGATTAGTCGACTGGCAGCATGCTAGAATTTGGATATTAGTGTCCTTGATGCCGTCCCAATACAGCAGGGTTTCTGATCAGAGAGCTTCTATTTAGGATGCCAGAGTCAGGATGCTAAAACAACTTCAGGTTGCTGACCCAGGACATGGAAATATGCTTGTAATATTAGCCCGTTTAGACTAATCAATGTTCTTAAAATAGAAACAGCACAGCACACAAATTAATGGGCAGTTACATAATCCTTGTATTAATTCTCTCACTACCACTGCATTTACGACCTCGCAGACCAGACTGTCGTCTTGCTGCACCGCTCATTACGCCACGGTTTGCAGGAGGCTCCTCGCGCCAGCGGGCACAGACCGACACTCGCCG